ATGGAGAGGCATCTTCATTTCAACTTGGGGTTAAAGAGATCAACTAGAAAAAATCCAACTCAATCCTTGAGACGTTTGGTACATGGGAGAGAAGTCTCAGCTACGCTAGTGTAATGAGCAGTGAAAAAAGATTCGAAAATGAATTCGTACGTTAAACCTGAGAGGCAACTTGTTAGTCCAGAACAGAAAGAGCGAAAATAATTTCGAATATCTAGGAAAATCGTCCAGCAATATATATATATATATATATATATATATATATATATATATATATATATATATATATATGAACATTATTTCAATCCTTTATGACTTTCCGATCCTTAGCTATGATTAATTAATGATGAACATGTCATTTTCGTTTATGACCGATTTCATCATGATCTTTCTGTAAAGCTTGGAGTGTAATTACATAATCATATTGCTCAAAGTGGAGTCCAATAGTGTTTTAAAAACATCAGAGAATTCCCCTAAGATATCTTTAATCATTTCTAAGATAAAACGTTTCAAAGCTTAATCTAACAACTGGACAATTTTGCCGTTACACCCGATATATATATATATATATATATATATATATATATATATATGTGTGTGTGTGTGTGTGTGTGTGTGTGTGTGTGTGTGTGTGTGTGTTCGTGAGGGGTGTTTTGATCACATTTGAATGAAAATGAACCTTCAAAGTTTTCTCGAGCTCAGTCCGGTAGACGAAGTAAACACTACTTTAAAAAAATAACAAAAACATGCAGCGTGGACTCAAATACGGTATCCATTAAAAATAAAGCAAAAAAAAAATATGTTTCCGTTTTGGATACGAAATTGAGAACATTCGAGAAAATCTGAACGAATGAATGTGAATTTAGATTAAAGCCAATTGTTTGCGTGTCAATTGCATTGAGGTCATTGCACGCCGAATCAGAGAGTGATTTCTCCTGTAAAAAGGATGGTAGGTTAGTATTCTGTACTGAACTCACCACTCTTTAGGTGAAGTCACTGGATCCAATCAACGCTTTTATCCACTGGGTCAAGTGTCTTTGAGGACTTGGGAGTTCAATACCTGGCTACTACAGTGGTGAACAAAATAACTTGTACAAGGTATATTTTTCTTAATTCTTCTTCTATGTGCCTTGTCGCTCCAGGACATAGGATACATTAGCTATCCACATCTTTTCATTCATTGTAGCTCTTAGAAGTGTTTTGTCTTTTTACTATCTCCACGACAGCCTGTTCCGCCATCCATTTAAACAAGCTCGTTAGGTAGGTCAGTCGATGATTTCCACTGTCCTTCCTGCCTTCCATATGCATTGTGAGTGTCAAGTTCTCCAAGGATTTTCAACTGTCTCTTTCAGATGCTCCATGGCACCATAAATAGCTCTCTTTCTCAAGGTTGAATTATTATTCACTCAACTTGCTCCACAACTGAGTGTTTATCCCGTTCAAGGCGCCATGTAGAACAATCACGCGGTCAAGATAAACACTCAGTTGTGGAGAAAGCTGAGTGAATAATAATTCAACCATGAGAAAGAGAGCTATTTATGGTGCCATGGAGCATCTCATTGTGCTAAAGTGGGATAGTCCATTGCTTGGGCTGTGATTGGCTGCTAGTACATGATTGGAGGTATTTCTGTATAAATACCAGCTTGATACATCAGTTAGTTTGCAGGGTTTGTATTGAGTTACAACCTGTTTTATTTTTGTCTGCCAGCTGGACGCTAGCTGGGACACTTACGCTGGTAAGTGCTGTTTATTGTATTGTTATTCTACAGAGGTATAAGTGTCCTTCTTACATAGAAACACCAGTTCGCGTACGATCACCGATATATTTAACGGCCCCCACGTGGGTCGTATCTGGCACAAGGCCGGTTTATTGTGGGTTCTCCGAGCCCGTAGGCTAGGCCAAAAATATTCCCTTTAGAATCCGTATAAACGGGTTCAGGGCCTGTCTATCTCCCCGGTCGAAACTTTGCCCTTCGAAAAAAGCTTCGTCCGAGATCCTCTCCGCAGAGGGGGGAGAGTTTGACAGTCATGAACGGTCTATATCACAGTTCCCTCGCGTACGATCACCGAAGTTAAGAAACACCGAACCGGCTCAATATATAGATAATTGACTGTTTGGGAATATCAGGTCCTGTAAGCTTAGATGCGCTACAATGGATATCGGCTCGGAATTTGGAAATCGGAGAGCAGAGGTTCGATTTCACTCGGATACGTTATATTCACTTACGCGCAAATACCCATGGGAAATGTATGAATCCACCTATTCTCCTCCAGCAATGTGTTATTTAGTAGGACTGGTATCATTAAATCATTATTATCACGAAAATAATCTTACGATGTAAATATATTTTCTGTATTTAAATAACCTGCAAAAGTTTGATAGGACTTAAAAAATCAATCAACCAATTAAATATTCCTTGTTATTCACATGTGCAGTTCATTGTATTCTCAACATTCTTCTGAAATTAACATTGTCGGTTGCTAGACTGTTCTTGATATTGAT